TTAAATCACCATCTCAAAATACCACTAAAAAGTGCTTAGAAATCCACCAAGCACTTTCAAAATTTTCATAATATCAACCAAAATGACACTGTGCTAAAAAATATTTTATAAAAAAAATTATAAAATTCTTTACAAACTTCAATTGGTTCCATTTCATTGATGGGCTGCAATTTGTTGTAATAATTAACGAGTAGTTCAAACTGTATTATAATCAACTGTGCCACACAGTAAATTTTGCATAGCTCAACTTCTTCGTCTCTCTCTCATTTACAAAATGTTGATCAAGAAAATCAGAATCCAAATCAATCATGCACCATGAAAAAAGATGCAATTTTGTTGTAATACTCAACGAGCAATTCAAACGGTACTATCATGTGACGTCATCAAAAAATACCTGCGTAAATTTTGCATAACTCCAAAATAAGCTCCACTTCTTCATCTCTCTCATTTACAAAATGTTTGTCAAGAAAAGCAGAATACAAATCAATCATGCACCCGTTAGAAAAGACGCAATTAATGGAAATCAATCAATCAAAATTAATATGCATTAAAAAGTGAACAATTACTAAAAGCATCTTCAATTAAAAAAACGAACGAAATAAAAAAGAATTGCCATTAAATCATAATTTCAATCAATCCAAATTTTGAAGAAAAAAAAAACTACACAATTAATTTGAAAGTTATAAAAATTAACATTTTTTATAAAATATATCGTTGTTTTTTCGGTTTCGGTTAATCGTCGTCCTCTAATGTTTTAAGTGATCGCGAGTGAAAAGTGTTTCGGTTTCGGTATCGTTCCGTTGGTAAAAAATATCTTAGAAGTGCCGGTTCGGTTTCGTTATAAAGTGCCGTGATTCGTCTCGTTATAATATCCGTGTTAGAACCCTTGTGCTTATAAAGACATTTATGCCCGTTCGATTTGAAAACAAAAACCATTTATTTAAATTTTAATAACCAAACAAGAATTCGCAGCTATAACATACACATCACTTCTCAAATAAATTCACAAAAATTTTGCTTTGAACTTGGTGACAGTAATAATCTTGCATATAAACAATATGACTATTAACTAATCAATTGACATTAAAATTTTGGGACCAACTCTCCATTCAACTAAAGAAATCATTCATATTTTCCGGTGAACTATCAAGTAAGTAAAACAAAATTTAATCAACTCCTTACTATATTTCATATATACAAATATTATAAAACCAATAACCAATAATTGTTGGACGGGGCAGACCATATGATACTCTACCCAACTACCACTGGACATGAACATTCTGCGAAGCTAAACCTCTAGCCTGTTATCGTTTCACAATACTAGCATTCACTTGTGTGATAGTGGTAGTAATAAACCATATCGAAATATGTAAATCCCTTTACAAATTTTAGAATATTTCCCATATCTGTCCTCTCAAACCGATATAATTGATATCAGTCCAAGGATACTCAGGTTAGAAAATTCAGCTCAGATATTCAACAAACAGAAAGTATTAAGGAATGTCAGTTCGCAATGCAAAAATACAGTGGCATCGGTTAGAAAATTCACAAAGAATCGTATAAATAACTATTAGATAGACCTACAAAAAAATCGACCAATATTTATTTTTTATATAGAGATGCCTTACCTAGTGAGAACTCAAAATATCAAGTTAGAGCCAAATCGATTGAAAAACTTGCCCGAAAAATATCAAAAATCGAGGATCCCATGATGGACAGATGATAAGTACTTTCTGATTGAAATATTTGCCATACAACAAAGAGAAGCCATAATACAAACTTACATTCAATTTGCTTCAAAAAATTACGCAAAATAACGAATAATAAGAGTACCAATATATTGGGCCTTTCCCGAAACTTTGTAATTGTTGGTAGAAAGATTTTCCACCCAATGATAATCAGCCATAATACTCGAGGAAGGCCAGGTCGCGGATAGTTTTTAAATGTTTACCATATTCAGTTTTCATTTTTTTATATTTTAAATTCGCTATAGGAGTACCCATCTGTCCATAGGAGAAAGTCTTAAATCCGCGGTCGAAGGCCGGCCACCCACATATACTATTCTAATTGAAAGAGATTTTGTCACGTAGTTGAAGTTGGCATCTGTCTACAGGAGAATGTCTTAAATTTCCAGCCGAAGGGCTGCGACCCACAGATACTTGAATTTAAATGAACATAGTCTTAGAAAGTATGGACTTTTTTGATAACATAATTACATTTTATGTGAAATTACGTGATATTTTGAAAAATTTTACTGGATGTTGTCTGTTATCTTTTCTCGTTATTATTGCAAAAGAGAATAAAATGAGTAAATGTTGCTGGAAAAGTAACCAGGCACAACTAATATTGATGGGAATAGTAGCAATGTAAAGTGCAAAATTGCATTTCTGTATTTTAACGGTCTCTATCGCCATTTCTACATATGGACAGACCGGCATTAAGTTTCTAACCATTAATATACGTACTTTTTGGAATGACAAATTTAATATACACTTCACCATATTATGGAGGATATAAAACTATGCGATATCCTTATAAGGGTGCTATTCCAATTAAATGCAACAATTATATTTCCTCTAATAGCACAGCGATTTAATGTAGGCAGAGTAGATACTCTTGAATTTCAAAACATACGAAACTAATTCTGCATTTGTTATTATATCAGCTATACTATTTCCATACAATAGGTAGACGGGACAGTCGATGGGTCATAGACACTTCTGATCGCCCTTAGTCATTGCAATTTTGTTGTTAACCATGTCTTGGTACAAACAATAACAAGACTTTCTAAAAATGTAATATTTCTCTAAAATTTCAGAAACTGTACACCAATAATTTTCTTCCTTCCAAATTTCACATTCCATCTTTGTCCACTTATCACAGCCTTACTTGCCCAATTACTTTTCATATATTTGATATCAAAACCGACTTATCCATTTCGAAAAGTGATACACATACCAAAGTTGAAGATGCAATCGCCGTTTAGTACTATTCGCCCTAAACTACAGTCAACATCGTTTATAATAACACCGTGTTTAACCACATATCGGTTGAGCCTCTAAAGAAGTTCTGAAGATTAAATAGCGAACAATTTCACCGGCCCTTAACCGTAGCTATAACCGATTTTGACTGTACTTGTTTTAATCCCAGCACCAAATTTCAAGATACCCATTTCCATCCCATTCCAAAATGACACTTTTATAGTGACTTCCTTCTCAAGCTCCATAGGTTAACCAAATCCAAAATGAACGAACGAAGTACACATTTCAACACCAATCTCCTTCAATACTAAAAACCAATTTACACATCGACTTTCAATAAGCTAGCTTGTTTCGTTCACTCAGTTCCAAATGTACTAATTATAGTGTCATAGCACGAGTCTTCAAAACAGCGTCCTTCATACTTTATTTGAGAAATATCGACCTATTACACTAAATTTTGTACCTTTTAGTTCTTTCTCGAAGATTACATAATTCCAGCTTGGTAACATTTATCACCCTTTGAGAGCTTTGTTCCTTGACCCCAGCACGCAACGAGTAATCCCCATACAAAATTGTAAGATAGCAAATTTAATATGGTTCGTCCACGAATATCTAGAAACCATTTAATACAAGCACTCTACAGTCGACCTGTGACGTTCGTTATTATTAATGTCACCATATATATAGTCGCTTTATATTTCCATTAAACAATTGTTTAATGGTTTTCCATTAAACAATTACCTCCTGCACTGTGGGTACAAATGTGAGGATACCTACGGAAAGAAATTTCTATGATATCTTAATTGTTTCCTATTTCTTTCCTTTAAACAATTTTTAAAAAAATACGAGCCCCCCAACATCTTGCTATAAAATACTCCAACATCATTCCCATTTCCTCCTCCATATACCCTCTATCGCATCATCATTACCACGTCCAAAAAATGCTGATTTTATTCTGCAGCTGTTGTTGTTTTGGTAGCCCCACGGTTTTCACATAATGGACTGATGTGACAGTTCGTATTCTCAAGATCTATTATTGCACTTGTAGTTGGAAAGAGTAAACGTATCCTTGTCTCAAACGAATAATCGTTCACCCAATGTCAACTGTACTAAATTTAGTATAATTTAGAATTTTTCGTAGACCCATTAATACACATTTCCAAAACAATTTCATTACTTGCCATCTCCTACTAAAGCACGAGCTCCATACGTTAAACAAATCTTAAATTAACCAAGATCAACCCTATATACTAATTCACATAACAAATCTAAGTATGTTACATCTTTTCGTTTACGCTGTATCAAATATCCTAATTTAAATGTTCTTATATCAAACCTAAGCTTCCACAGCATTTCTTATACCTAATATCTAACCCTAGTACACTAAATTTAGTATAATCTTGTTCTGGCAATATACTCCTGATTACAAATTGTCAGAACAATTTCCTTATCAAAATCCTATACATCAACAGTGACCCTAATAACAGATTTCAGACTTCCTGAAATAACCTCCTTATCTCGGTCAAAATTTTATGTGTTAATCTACCCAATACCAACGGAAACACATTTATTATAAATGCGAATCAATATTGCTTGTAGTATAAAATTTAAAAATTCTGACATTAGATTTACATTATTTATGTTAGTCATGATCTCTTATACATATTGTTTTACATGGTCCCCCAACGATCGTTATGTGTATATTCTCACAGAACTAATCGAAAATAAATCAACTTTGCTAAACCACTGCATTTCTCCATTGTGGATGCCACTATAATTCTTCGGATCATTTGAGGTGAAGGGATCCCACCTTGATATAATTATTTTAGTATTATTGAATTTTACAATCGAACTGCTATTCTTCATAAATAAGTTTGATATGGACTTCTTGAAGAAATTGAGAACATTTTTCAATTGATTCCCGTTTCATTTTATGAAATAACGACTCCTCTTATGGCACTTAACACTTTAATTATTGCAAATAGTATAACTTAAAACATAACAACAAATAACAATTCATCTACTCTTGTCCAAAGCATCCAGTGCTTTTGATATATTAAATTCTGGAAATAATATTGATATTTCCCTTGTAGCGGATTCAATACTATCTGAACCATGGCAGGCGTTGCGAGTGTCCGATAATCCATATAGGGCCCGAATACAATCAGGATTCGAATAAATTGCCTTGTACACTTTGGTGGGACCCATTAAAGAACGCCACTTAGAAATGCTATCCGCTGATTGTAGAATTAAGGCATATGATGGACCACTGGAAAAGATAAAAAACAAAACAATTATTCCATTATAATTAAATTATTTACATTCTTAAGACTTACCTTCCCATAAAGGTGGTCAGTCGATTATAAAAGAATTTCCCCTTATGCTCAGCATAGAATTTTTCCGACAAATGTTTCGTAATGTGAACTTCTTTGGATTCCAGTACTTGGAAATTGTCTTTTATCAATTCCAGTAAATGGCGCAACGCCACTGTATTACGTACCACATGGGGTTTAATTAAAGCTAATGTGATTTCCATTATTGTCCGATATTTTCTAATTCTAATCCTTAAACATTTAATTTAGATTTTCCAACCCAACGTGGGGGGGTGTTATTTTTCCTTTGTTATTGTTCTGATTATTTGTTATGATATTGGTTTTTGTTGTAAATTTACACAGCTGATCATTTGACGTTTATTCACAGAGCATGTTTATGCAGCTAACAGCTACCTTACAATAGCCTGTATGGCAAGTGGCAAACATTTACATTGTACTGAATTTCGTTACCAAGTAGATTTAAATTGTCAATTGCGTTGAATATTTGACAATTAAATCATTATAACCCGCTGAAAAGTTAAAATGTACATGTCATTTACGATTTATCAGTAAAGTAATTACGAAGTGTACTGTATATTTCGATTGTCTGTCGATATATACAGATGGTTCAAAGATGGAAGGAGGCACATGTGCCGAATTTTTCTGTGAAGAATCTTCAATCAAGAACTCATAGAAGCTAAGTAAAAATAGTAGCGTTTTTTTCAAGCAGAGATTTTAGCAATACTTAAAGCAGCGGTTTTAGTTAAGGAACTGTGTACTAGTGACTCGGTACTGGTGACTATATTCAAACGGCACTTAAAGAAATATAGGGAAGTTCATCATTCCAAAATCGCTCTGCGGAATATACGGCATTTTGTTGCACTTTTTTAGATCCAGATCATAGTGACATTAAGGGAAATAAAGTAGCTCATGAGCTTGCTCGACATAGATAGCAGTCAATCGATTTAACAATTGATGATACTGTTAGACCTAAACTTAGCTAATGTTTGGGAAATCCGCTATTTTTACGAGGAGAAAGTAACAATAAGATGAAATGTGGAATATAGATATACACCATAATTTCTAAACATAGATCGGAACCATTAATTTCTACGCATAGAAAAGAGATAAGGACAATCATAGGGATCATAACAGGTCACTGCAGAATCAGATGTCTTTTTTTCAAAATGGGAGATTAATGTAAATAATTTACAGTCCATATCGTTTAAGCGTATCCAAAAGTTTCGAACAAATCCTGACGTTTATTTAAAATCGAAATTATTTTGGTCTTTGCATCTTCATATGTAATTTTATTTTGTCTCGACTTTGTGATCCTTGGGCATTTCATTGAATCACCATTCTTAAGGTGTAACCAATGCATCTCCTTTTCCTAGATTTAGTCTTCTTTTGTATGAGTGTCGGACCTGGTTGGACCACATAAACCTGCATATGATTCTCAGGCATTTATTTATGAATACCTGTAGTTTTTGCGTGATAGACGAGTCAGTTTTGAAGCGTAGAATCTATTTTATACATGCTTCGAATATTTTATGGTCGGGTTTTCTAGATATATGTGAACTTTTCTTCTCCCTAGATAGCAACAGCTATCAACGTATTTAATTGCCATGTAGCACAATGTTCATTGTACTTATGTTGCTAATTTCCAATGTTCTACTTTTCTTGATATTAATCTCAAATCCAAAATTGCGAGCTAGTTTTTCAAGGATTTCTAATTATTACTGCATGTTCGATATCCTGTGTTAGAAAGATCAGATATCACCCATTCTCAAATTGTAGTAAAATACCTCAAATTATGTTTCTTTTCTGGGAGCAGATTTCATTCATTGTTTGGTGACGGAAGACATCCTTGCTTTACTACCAAGTTGTTGAGAAACGGTAGGTTGAGAGTTCTGAATTTGGTCGGATGGTGTCGAAGACTTTCTTAAATCCCTCTGGTGGTCACGTTAACTCTCGAAGGGAGTAAACTTCATAATATTTATTTCAAAATTAGTTTAAGTTCGAGGATGGGGAATATCCGTCCACTTGACACCTCCCCAACAAAATAGTCAGAAATGTGGCAAATAACCTCCGCAATCCCATGGTCAAGCATTCTTTTCTTTGAATGATTCTTTATACCCCCAGCCTTATGGCTAATGAGGGTATATACAGTTTGCTACAGCAAAAATGTGCCTCATCGAAAAATTGGTTTCAGACCCCATGTTTCAAACAATTAGTATCCTATTTACAAATGTCCGTCTGGCTCTGGAAGGGAGTAAACGATTTCATCCAAACTACTTTAAGTTCGAAGATGAGGATTATCGGTCCACTTTTTCTGATACCTCCTCCACAAAATGGTCAAAATTGTGCAAAAAATTAATTTTTTAATATCATGAGAACGAATTATCTGATCTGTATCAAACATTGTACAACCTATTATTTTTACCATTTTTACCGACGGTCCCCTCCTTCTGGTACCTCCCCACAAATGGTAAACATTTTTAACATTTATAAACGCAGTATCAGGCGAATGTAGAAATGCTACTTTTAATGGTGTTTCTACACGATATGTATTTTACATATGTGCTGTCACTTTTTTACATATGGAAATCGAACTCGTCATGTGAAACATACGGAAATTTCAATGTGTCAAAACGATATGCAATTACATATGTATTTTTTTCCGAATAGGACGCGCTCTATTTTCGTATGTGAAACATAAGGAAATCAGCTGTTTGAATGAAACACATTGTTGGAAGAAAATATTTCAATTGCAATTCAAAAAAAAAGGATGAAAAGGCAACAATTACAAATTATTATTTCGTTTGTAGGTGTTTAATAAAAAAAAAATGATGTTGATTTAAGAAAAAAATAAAAGTGTTTTTTTGTTTATAGGTTATGTCATATGTAAAATACATATGCCGATTTGAACACAAAAATAAATGTTTTGTGTACACTGCTAATTTTGACACACATAAGGAATTACACATGGATGAAATAAGTGACAGCACATATGTAAAATACATATCGTGTAAAAACACCATAACAAAACTTCGCACGACCTATAATTTTACCTATCCTAGACCGCTTCTTTTGGTACCTTCCTCACAAATGGTCAAAATCTTCAATATTTATCAATGCAGAATCAGGGTTAAGTAACGAATAAACCGAGAAAACATATGGTTAATAAACCCAACTTGTTGTGTATATTTATTTCTTATCTGTCGGAAGATGCCACTACACACAGAGTTGCGTTTTTTTGTTATTCACCTCATGATAGCATACCTTGAATTTTTTCCTTACATAAACCTATTTTAAGTATACAAGACTAGTAATGAGTACCCTTATTGCACAGTTCAACTTCTATACACCATGTGATCAACCTTAATACTGTGAAAAGATATCGCCATCTGGCAACTTCAGTGCAAGTGACATTTGACCATATATCAGTGTGTGTGTATTCATAGCCTATGATTGTAGCATTTACGCGAAAATGGTAAATATTAAAATATTATTTATTAATTTTTGTGATATTTAAATCATTAACTATCCAAATTTATAGGCCTCCACAAGTACTACATCCACAACCGATGATCGACGTATATGGGTTGGCAATTTAGATCCCAGATTAAGCGAGTAAGTAGAAGCACTAAATTTGGCTTGTTGTTGTTTGATGTGTGTTCATCAAGACCCTCAGAAGCTAATTGCAAACATTTCATTCTTTTCATTTTCGAAATATGGGTTTCACCTCCTGAAAGTTGTGCAAAAATGTGGCGAAATAGAAAAATTTGATATGCTCTTCCACAAAGGTGGTCCCCTACAGGGGCAATCTAGGGGTTATGCATTTGTTACCTTTACCAAGGTGAGTAAACAAACAGTGACATATGTTTGATGGCATTGGACTTAATTTACATCTGGAAATTTCTTTTGGTTTCTGTTGCACATTTTTAGTCCAGTTCAGCTATGGTGGCATTGGAAAAATTAAATGGCCATATGATTTTAAATCGTCCTATTGCCGTGAGATTGGCCAAAAATATAAATTATGTAAGTTGAAATCGAATTAATTTTAAATTTACAAATCTTAACAATTTACCTTTTACTTTTTAGGACGAATTTGAACGACCCAAACCGAAAATTGAAATCCCCGCATTGGGCACGGGCAAACGTGAAGGCAAAATAACACGCGAAGAAGCCATAAAAGCCATCGAACAAAAACTCAAAGCCATCGAATCTCAAGGTGATGATATTGATTTCAGTCAACCCACCGCCGGCCCTGTTATACCTCTCATACAAAAATATCAATTCAATAAGGATCGTGATGCCAAAACTGCATCAGCAACACAACGTCGACCATATCACAAAAGCAGTTCCGGCCCCTATAGTAGACATCAAAGACCAAAACGAAGATAGAAGTAAAAGCAAAATGTTGTTGTTCTCGTCACAACACACACCGTACTTATAGTTCAAAAGAAAAAATGTATCGTTTTTATATTTCCATCCATTTATTTGTGTATTTTTATCTCATTCACCTCATAACGCAGACTACCTTAAAACAAAACTCACAGCATAGAGTTAACTCGTAACAAAAGAAAAACTTGAAGCTAATAAAAAAACGTAGCAAAATTAAATGTTTTAAAAACGTAACGTAAATTTATTTGGGAGCAAAAATATGTTTTCCACGCATATGATCGGGTAGCTTAACTAATGCTGGGCAGGGTACTTGTCCGGGAATTTCACAAATGCAGTGACGATTGCAACCGTGACCAAAGTTGGCGGGATTGTCTTTACTCTCGGCCAAACGTGCTTCGGCATCCAATTGTTCTCTGTAAAGAATAACAAATATTGATTAATTATAGGTTCAGTTTAAATTAAGTTTAAAAAAAAGTTCAGTCAATTGCTTATAAATATTCGTTCATTCCGAGAAGTCGGGACCAAATAACATAGAAAACAATAATGCCTGATAAATTTGTATAGTATATTATGTATATAACGATTTATACATTTCCGTCAGTTGTAGCAGCCTAATGACTTTAAAACAATGAGCTCAGGTGACAGATGTGGGCCGAGGACTGGGGTCGTTTCGAATTGTAGACCCTTCTGTCTGTCTCTTGTAATCACTATAATCTCTATACAAACAGATCGCCAAAATGTTGCATAAAATTGTCAGTATCGGTCCAATTTTCGGGTAGCCCCTATATAAAGGTATTCCAAAATTTTCGCTATTTTGGATTATCATTTGATACAAAAGCACTCTAATAAAAATGATCAATATCGGCCCACATTATGGGTTAGTCCCGTTATAAAAATACCCTCAAAATATCGGGATCTTGAGGATTTCGTTCAAGTTTTTCAATCGAATTAACTGTAATCTAGTATTTCGGATCCTAATTGGGTGCCAAATCTGGTCGATCTGTAATCTTGAATAGTTTCCAATACATTAATGTAAATACTCTTTGTAGTAGACCGGTTGACCTTTTTTTACTCCGAGAACTCCCTCCTGACGTGTCTGAGTACAAAATGACTAATAATGATTGTTTCCGTAAAAACCAAACATCCCGTTTTGGTCTATTAGATTTTTGAAGAGACATCTTGTCAAACTTCTAGTACAATTGAATATGCTACTGATGGCAGGAGATCTACAAGGTTCGCTCTATAATAATCATAGTTTCCAATAAATCAATGGGGGTAATTTTCGTAACAGAACTTCGGATCTAGAGGGTCCATTTTGTATTCCAGAACCTATTGCCCGGCGTGCCTGGGTCTTAAATGCCCTGGATGATTGTAACAGTAACACCGAAGCATCTTGTTTTGGTCTATCAAAGTTTTGAAGATACACATTTTCTATGTTGTGGTATGATTGAATAGGTTTCCATTGTGTTTCCATAGTTAACAATAGACCAGCATATAGCTTTATAAGTTGACAAAAAGGGGTTTATTTATCTTTTTCCCAAGAGCTTCTGAGCTGGTCCCTGGTGCATGACTATCAAATGTGACCCCTAGTACATTGGTTTATTAGTGGATGGGATTCTGGATCGATTGAAGAGCACATTATGGGGTAGCTCTGGTGCTGGTGAATATTTTCAGCCTAGACGCCATAAACGAACAATCACCCACGTACGGGATAATTTTTGGTGAAAGAAAGATTCACAATTTTGTCTATGACCCCATATGATTGTACCGTCAATTCCTAATTTACAGAGTTTCAGATGTTTTCCTTTTGTTGCTTTTAACCGGCTTATTAGATACAACTTCTAAACTTGATCAACATAAATTAAAATTCTCTTTATGAAGTTATACTTTTATATATACCACAACCGATCTCTTTGTTCCAAATTTATACTCACTTCGTTTTGCCGACAACCTTCATTAGATGATCCATAATTTCATGACGATTTTTGCTATCAATATCAATCAAAATATCACGACCATCCTCGAAATAACAACGAACAAATGGGGATGGTGTCATATTTTTGAATGTAACAACTTGGACTGCAGGATTTTTATACTGGACTTGGGGTATATTCCAAAATACGAAATCACTGCAAAAAATAAATACAAAATAACATAATTTCAATTCATTGTAGCCGCTTGTAGCACCGCTGTTACGTATCAACTTACCGGGCACCATCATGATGTTCGCCATAGGTATTATAATTGACGCTGAAGATTTTCACTTTATCCTTCAATACCAAGCGGCCAGCATTTAAGTATTCCAAAGTACGACGAATCGGGGCTCTACCTTTCATAAACGACATCTTGACTGTGTGGTTTTTATTAGTTTTATTAATGAATTAAACAAAAACCGTAGAATGGAGTTATGTTCACACAAAATGAGAAAATGTGAGACAAGGTGATTTTGTTATGCAGTCAGCTGTTTGTATTTGACAGTTTAATAACAGCTGTGTGGGGGCTAAATTGTGTTTTTGTGTGTGGCAATGCCATTGTTTTTACATGTTTCGACTGTTACATTTTTTGTACTTTAGTCATCACAATAGAAATTTAGAAAACGCATTAAAGAATATTAATTTGATTCCATTAAAAAAAAAAAAAAAAATTATCCCATTAAAACAAATTATAATTGTAGTTTTTGCAAAAAATTAGGCTGGAATTCAGCCTGACTATTTTGCAAAAACAAAATACAAATGGTATCCCATTTGTACACTATTATAATTTTTGTTTTAAAAATAAATATTATTGTGTAAAATAACTGTGGAAATATATACTCTGTTCCAAAACTGGCAACAATCTTCAATTATAAATTTATCTTTTATAAATTTATCTTTGTGTTTATTTGACATTTTTTCAACACAAAACTAATATCAATATTTGATAGTACACTTGATTCAGACTATTGTTGTTTTGTTTTCATATTTCGAGAAGAACGACATTTTCGACGACATATCATGTGACAATTCCATAAATTTCGTCAACGAAATTGTCACGCAAGAGAGTATTTTCTTCTGGGTAGTATTCAAAACAATACACATGCATACACAAAATATGTATTTTGATTTGTTGGAACAAGCCACATTGAGAAAAAATTGTAATCAGTTGGTAGCTCTTCCCTACCTTGTAATAATTATATCATGCTACTTACACAATTTTTTATTTTTTAAACGATTACTGATTTAAAACGATTTTAGAAAATTAATATTCTTATGATATTTCGTTTTTTTGCAAGGGGGTTTATTTTAATACCACACATTCGCATTTCTATTGGTCAGTTGCGTACCCAAAAAGTGGTACAACTTTTCACATCTATCGATGTGATAGAAATGTCTTTTCATTTTCTGAATAAATAACATTTAAAAGTGCAGCTACCTTCAATGAAAATGAAAAACTCTGCAAATGTCAACAGGAAATTAAGAGGCTACATTTTATGGGAAATTACAAAATTCTTTTAAAATTCCATTAAAAAAAAAATTGAAAAAAATTTTTGCGAGCACATTCATGATTTTGGTATTCGGATGCTGCGCACAAAAGTTATAGCGGTTTTAAATCTTGTATTTCAAATATAAATTAAATGCAAACTATTTGTTGTAATTCGCGAATTTCTTCACAAATGGATAAACACATTTGTTTTCTTTGCATACTTGTCAAATCACATTGAAATACGGTGTAGTAGTCGCGATAAACAAATAGAAGCATGAAGATATCTGAAAATAAAATAAATAATTTTTTTAATTAAGACAATACGTTTATTTGTATTTTCGATTTTTTACTGTGGTTAAGGGAATACGGTTTTGCCCTAATCTTCTGAAATATATGACGCTTTCTTCTGCAAATTCTTTTAGATGATTCTTAAATGTCTGTAGATTCATCTGATAAGATTTTCGACGTTAAAAATTACTGAATATATTGCACTTACAATACATAAAAATGGTCAATATTGAAAAGGGGTCAAAGTTTGCCGCTCGATGCATTTTACTATGCAAAAACCCTAAAAATGAATTAAAATGGCGCAACGTGCATACGATTTTTATGCGCATCCGATTTTAGTAATATCCTATTAAAATACACAAAAGGACACCTATTTTAAAAGGATCGGTTAAGAACCACAATCGATTTTGGATAAAATACGCATATTATTCGCGTATCGATATATTTTTGACCCACTTTCACACAGATTCGCGAATATGATAACACAAGCATGAATGTATGTGAAATCAATTCGAAGAAAAACGCGATTATATACGCGAATTTGTCAAAATAAGTTTTTGCAGTTTTTCCCACATTCAAGGTACCTATATCCGCCGTTTTATTGGGCGGAATTGAACATGGATGGGCTCATTAGATCCGGCAAAAAAAAAAAAAAAAAAAAAAAAAAAAAAAAAAACTAAAATCACGCGGGGTTCCACGGAATTTGAATGGAATTTCTTAATTTTAGACTCAAAAAATATGTTTTTTATAAAAATTTACCCACCAAATTTTCGTCTTTGGAACCCAATTGCAAAGAAGCTACGGTGAGCACATTCATGAGATACACACTAAACGAAGCAAAATCACGAGTTCTACAATCCTATAATTATTTTATTCCATTATCTGGATGCGCATCCTAATTATAAGAAAAATTCAAAAAACACCGAAAATCCGGCTTCAAAATGTCAGCATCCATTTTGGGTGGATGCAGTGATTATATCGAAAAATCATACATTAGAACCATATTGTCCATGGGGTATTCTGCAACTTAGTCACTGATCACATGTGCGTGCGTTGTGTAGTTTAGCCACAAATCAGGAAGGAACACAAAAAACCTCATTGGCTTCAACACATTTTCACCCATTTTTTTTACATTACCACCATCACAGCTTCCACGCAACTTATTATTTATTACCAATATTTTAAGATTTTGACAAGAACACTTCATTTTATAGAAATGAATTTAAATTATATGAAATATGTTCATATTT